AAAACAAACAAACAAACAAACACACATGTTAGTTGAAACTGCTATCATCATAAAGCTGATGCAAATAATAGCAACTACATCATTTGCAAATCTCTGCAGCACATCATCATTATCTCTGCAACTTTTATGTATTATGAATCTCATGGTTTTATATTTAATACGTGCCGGGTCCTTTCTCTCTCTCTTTTCCCTCTCCCAAATTTTTTTTCCTATCTTATTTTGTCAAGCATTTTGGTATACCCTTTGGTTTTTAGTGTGCTTTATAAATAAAGTTTATTATTATTATTATTATTATTATTATTATTATTATTATTATTATTATTATTATTATTATTATAAGCTGCTAACTAGTTTAAAAATGTAATAACCAATGACCTCATATTCATCATGAACTAAGCGGCTTATATCTAAAGGATCTCAGCGAAGATCAGAATTTATTAAAACCAAACTGCTTTTTGTGGTTATAATTCCAGCAATCTTGGACTTGATTGTTTTTTTTAATGGATAAACATCATTGTGGTGGTTTTAGACAACATTTCTCGACATGCTCTTAAGCAGTTTCATCCAGAGTGAACTAAGAAGATTGATAATCACTTCTTCTATAGCTGTGTGTAGGGCCCCAGTCATGCAGGCCTCTGGGCTCATCCGTGTTCCCGTGGCAACCATCAACGTCATCCAGTTTGTGTGGCACTTTCTGAAGTTTCACTACAGCCCTGAGAGTAAATAGCAAATATCTGGAGAAAGACTTTGATGCAAACTAGAGGCAGCTGGACTAGTGAGCCACTAACCAAACCAATCACTTGAAGGTTTTTGGTTCAACACCCTCTTCCTGACTGATTTCACCTGATGACAGCCCACAAACTCCAGCGACCGCTCACCAGCGATTCGGTGATGTCAACAAGCTAGCCAGGGTTCCTCCAAATCAAAAAGGCCTCCAGCAGGGGTGGGGAACTCCAGGCCTCTGGAGAACTTCAGGACATGTTGAGGAGGTAAATTAGCCATTAAAATCAGCTGTGTTGGATCAAGATCAGCTGTGTTGGATCAAGGACACGTCTAAAAACTGCAAGACCCTTGAGGCCTGGAGTTCCCCCACCCCTGGCCTACAGAGACCTCCAAATATCGCTCATTCATCAAGATCTCCAACAAATAAACATCTTGCATCTCTCTAAATAAATTTACACACAACTAAAAATGCATTACTAACCATTTCTCTACATTATTTTAACAGTGACATTAGCACATTTGGTACCTTTGTGTCGGAGCGAGACCAGAATAAGCAATTTCCCTGATACTTTTAGCTACTGTGCTAAACTAGGCTAACCAGCGCCTTAGTTTAATTTAAAAAAAAGAACACCTGTGTCAATGTTAATAGTTATACAGGACAGTCCTAGTTTCAAATACAGACTGAGTTACATGACTCAGTCTGTATGATTTATGAGTCATATTTTGGCAGGCTTTCTCTTCTAGGGCCTATTAAGAATCATTAAGATTGTATGATCATTAAGCAGATATGAACACAGAAGAGACTCGTTGTCTTAAAAAACCAGCAAAGCAGTCGACTGACTGGGTCCTTCCTGCAGGCTGAAGGTCGAGAAATCAAATGACTTTGTTTGACTCTCCAAGGCAGTCATGTGTGCTTTTATTCAATAGTTTCCTCAAAGAAAACTCCTGACTGCAAAGTGTAAGAAAAACAAATACAGAAATAGCTTATATGGGATTGAATGTGAGTCAAAGTCAGCCTGTAATGTTTCTACCTCAGAGAAGGAAGACACCGAACAACATGAAAACATAAAATAATGATTGATTCTTTATTTGAGGTTGTTATCAGTGATTAATAAGGGTGGGGGTTAATACATTATACCTGCTTCCCTTTGCTACAGCCTGTCAGTGAAACTCCCTGCCTGTATTGAAGTCATGTGACTTTAGTCAAGGATTTGGAGATGTCCAAGGTCCAGTGACTGGTGGTGATTCCTGTGTGTATCCTAGAAAACATGCTGACTCACTGAACAAGTACTAATGGATGCCTTTCAAGAGTATACAACAAAAATACTCAGGAAACTCTCAAATTAAGCAATATATTAGAGACAACTAATTGAAAACATAGCAGCACCACGAAATATCCCTCTTCTGGTTCAACTCTGACAGTCATATTCTGGAGTCAAACAGGGGAAAACCCTGCCCAGTTCTGTGGCCAATTAGTTTTACAATGGACATGTTCATGAACTCCACTGAGAAAACTGTAAATTTTGATTTTCCCTGTCGTTATTACCTGGATAACGTTGCTGTGAGATTATTAAAGTTGCGTAAGTGTTTATCAAAGCCGTGTGCTTTGTTCGGCAGTCCAAGTAGTAGATGAAACAACTTTAAGTGTATTAAAATCCAGCTTTTAATTCCCATTTAAAATAAGCATTAAAATAAAAAAGTCTAAGCATTAAAATACATAGATGAATTGAATCGTTAAATCGCCGAATTAACAAAAAAATACGAAACTAAAATACAAATAATCCAATCCGATTATATGTTGTTTATGTTTTCCAGCCGGGAATATATTTTAAAATCAGGTGTTTTTTAATGGAATCTGGTGTGATGCACTAAGGTGTCTTTCCATTCACAAAACTGACCCGAAAACCCATTAGTCAGCACGTAAGCCAAAATTAAGCAACAAATAAAGACACGCAGAGAATAAGAGTGTGAGAGAGAGTGGCGAACTTACTTGTCAGCGAGTGTTGACTGTGTGCCACTCATTGGGCTTCCCTTGTGAGTTTCCGACGGCTTCACCCAAACAACATTACCATCATAACTCCCGACTCTTCTGTACTAAAACTGCTTCTTCATTTCGTCTCCTACGCGTCCATGCACGTCCCCGAAACGCTGCCGAGTCTTTACACCCAGCATGAAGGTTTAAAAATCAAAAGTAAAGCTCCTCGGAGACACAGGATGTGTGTTTTTATGTATCTATGGGACGATCCAGCTGTTTAAACGCCAGCAGAAGTGATGAAATGAAATTCGCTTCTTTCAGAAAGCAGCCGCTGCCTGCATCAGGAGATGGACATCTGGAAAAAACCTCAGAGAAAACAGGCTGAAAAAGGTTTTTCTCCCCAGCTTTCACATTCTCAGATTACCTTCAAGTTCAGAGAGAGAGAGAATCTCTTGTTTTTCCTTAGGAAATACTTCCATGATGACACTCCAGACTATTCCTGGTGTCCGGGGGAGAATTACGTCAAACTTTGGCTGCTGGATCCAAAATGAACTTTTTCCCCCCTCTTATTTGCGCGACGTCCCGGTGTTGTTCACTGCGCGGATGTGGACGGTTCGTGCTTTCTGGGGCATCCCGCAGCCGATCTTATCGCTAATTTGTGCGAAGAGTCGCGGTCGTTGCTCTGCTGTGTGATGCATTTGGGAAAGAGGAAATGCTTTGTGCCCCCTCCCCAAAAAAGAAGTGAAAAGAAGAGGAAAAACACACCTTCCATCACGATGCGTTTAGGAGCCCATCGGAGTTCTCTAAACTATACGCTTTATAACGAATATGGTGGGGTTTGTTTGTTTGTTTGTTTTTACATTATCTAACAGTGAATCACTTTCTGTGCAACACACTCTTAAATTAATCTGATTACACACAGATACACTTTACCCAAGCACAATTTGTGCAGTAAAGGATCGGGTTTTGCAGATATTATGTAGAAAAGTCTTTACGTGTTTTCATCTATTTAAACTGCTGCTTTGTTTAACTTCTATTTTATGCCATACATGGATGTCGGTTTTATTTCAGCGTGGCTTGGAGCACATTAAGAAGGCGCTCTGGGGGTGCAGACTTAATTTCCTCTTTTCTTAATTTCCTCAGCATATACTGGAATATAGCGCACTGAGAGTTTTCTCATTTAATATTATCCCCTTAAATAACTAACAGGTCTGTCTGATACTTAAGCTGCTTTAATCTGTTAGCTGATGAATCATTTTATTTTATGAACCTCCTGGCTTTAATAATCCATACACTCAAAACGTTCTGCATATTTAAATCTATAAACTATATTTATATAAATATGTATAAACTTCTTTACACTGACAGAGAAGGGCCACTGGTCCACACTACTTAAGACAAAACTGGGCTGTGTGACCCACAATGTAAAATGGGTTGGACAAATGTAAATGGATCAAATTCTGTTATCCTTAATACCAGAGTTAATAGTTTTGCATTATCTAAATGGTTTCTATTTTTATTTGTTCTCGAGTTTTTGCTGCCACTTCAATTCAGATTTATTTAGTTTCCAGAACAATTACTGTTCCGTGCATAAAGTATTATTATATTACAATATTTCGCTATTAATTGACAAAGCAACACGTGACAACAAGTGACATGTAAAAATATAGTATAGAATAGAAATCTTTGTTGTCATTAGAAATAAAGCAGTTTGAGATTGGGATGAGTCACTGAGCCACTCCTGTGTGGTGCAACAAGGTTGAAACTACATGCATACATTCATGTATGATTAAATAAATGTTACACAAGCATCCCTTAAAACTGTTACTTAAAAAACAAAAAAAGAAATAAACATTAGGCAAATCACAAAGTAGCACATGCACACAATACAAAAGAGGCAACTGGACCATAAAGTGCAGGGGTCAGTTGATGTCTGCAGGTCTGGAGCTATTCTGCAGTAAAGTTTTCTGACATGAGCGTACTTCATATAAATAGAATATTAATATATTACTATATGTGTTACTGTTAATCTGAATGTGCAGGTTCGAACAGGTGGTGCCAAGGTGATATCAGTCTTTTACAATGGTTTTGGCCCCGACCCTGCTTTGATTTATTTTATTTTTTTGTCTTAGTTGACGATATTGCACTATATATTATGGTTTCGTTTTGTTTTTTAAGTCAACCCGGAGACTATAGATCTTTATTTGACAATGTGGTTCATTGTAAACTGGCTGATCAACTGTCTTTGGCGGACTTACAATCAAACGCCTGTAGGGGGCACCAGTACACTGGTAAAGAAGAAGCAGCAACAAGGATTGTTACACGAAGAAGAAGGGCATCCGTCCACAGGCCAACCACAGATACTTAACAGACAACATAAACATTGTCACATATTTAGGCAGATCAGCTGTTTTAGCACCTTAGCTCCCGTTTTCTTTGGCACTTTCACTAGAGATCTCCTTCACGATGTGGTAAACTATCTAAATGTCTTGCGGTCGGCCATGTTTATTGGGATGGCGGCTTTCCGAAGGCCTTGAAGTGGCACTGCTACCGGACGGTGAGACGTTTGGCTCATAGAAACAGCTAGGTTGCTAAGCTAAGCTAACAGCATCCACTGCAAAGGTTTTTGTCATCAAGATGACTAAATATGATGCTTATCTACTGGTACTTCATTCTGGGGGCATGCTAGTATGTATCTTGAGGTTACTGGACATATTTGCACCGCACTGGAAGCATCGCGGGGCAGTTTGATGAAGGCGGTATGCACCGTTGTTTTGCGACGTACTAACAGAAATTGACCCAGAAAATGTAGCAGCAACATTTTTCATTGTTTACAGCATAATGCCTGACCCAGAGAGAAAACCGCTTTCCTTTTCTAAGTGTTAGCGCCTTCAGTGCTCTTCGGCATGTAAAGTCTGCAATAGGGTTGAGTTAGATTAAACCAAAGAAGAATTTTTATGTATTTTGTTGGCAGTGTTTATTGGTTGAGAGGCCCGGTGATGGGCGGAACACCGACTGTTAACTGTTCAGCTCTTACTGACATCTGTGCGGGCTGGTCTGGGGCAATCTAGCCGGGAGAGGCGTACACAGTCCCCGACAGAAAGCACACTTTTTGGAGCCTCTTCATTCAGCTTTTTTGCTCTATAGTAAAATGAACCAACCAAAGATGTGATACTAAACTACGTCTGTCTAATAGCTGAACATCCCTGTTTCCACTGACAGCTGTGTTGATGTGGCAATGCATGCTTTAAATGAGTCAAGTGCAATCGCTGGTTGCAGACTGCTTAACTGCAGACTGTTTTGCATGTTCAGACTTGTGCAGGTATTTGTTTTAGAAATGCAAATTACAAGATAATGGTTTTTCTTCTACTTTATTTGCAAAGCAATCCATTTGTTAAGATTATAGCATTTGTTATTAATATGAATAGGTTGTCTAATTGGTGGCCATGTATCTAATATATATTTATATATAGTAATATATATCCAGTTTAAGTGGGCATACACATAATAAAAGGCACATACATGAAACAATTTAAAAAATATATAACCTTTAACTTAAAATGTAATGAAATAAAGAAATGTAGTTCCATACTCTTACATACTCCTGTGACCGGATATTGAAAGTCCTATATTAAATTTAAGCAAAGAGCAGAGGTAGCAGGTCAAATGAACACAATACAATGGAGAGCAGTGTAGTATGAAGAGAGATTAAGGGGTTAATAGCTTTCATTCTTACGAAGGTGGGTCTTTTCTTACTTGGATCACCACGGTAATGTGCTGAACAACTTAATTAAGAGCAGCTTATGTTCAGCGTTTCAGTTTAAAATGGTCCAGAAGTGTTATATTTTCTCTTCGTTGTTATCTCTGATCTGGATTTGACGCTTTTTCAAGTCAGCTATCACAAAGAAAGCCTGGCTAGGTTGAACTTGCTTCCCTTAACTCTCTTCTGTTACCTAAGGTGGACTATCACACCTTTTCATGTGTTGACATTTGGTGTTTTTTAATAGTCCAGCACCTTCATCCTACTGTCCAAAGACTTGCATATTAGAGCAGTTGGTGAGGTAGATAAAGTGCTTAATACTGAAGAATAAAGCACTGTATTGATGTACGGCTACAGTGGCTTGGAGTAGTGAGAAAGACTAGAGAAAGGTGCCATGTAGATATGAGACCATTTCCAAATCATTGTGTTGTCACTGTTATAATATTGTTATTTATTTTGTTAAAATTTGTGGTATCTGTCCCATATTGATTTTTAGATGTCGCTACATGTAAGGGAAACAAAGGAGAAGCGGTTCATTTCCACATTTAATGACTGTCCCCTTTGTTTACGTCAGAGACCTCATCAGGATTTGGCCTATTTTATATGGTTCATATAAAACAGAATCTGTGTTACCTTACTTATTAGAAGTCTTAGCGTTTCCCTGTTATTTTTGGCCATTCGATAAACATAAATATATTTGCGCTTGAGTAAATTAAATTCTGTATAAAAATAGTTTTAACGGTTTTATTTTTGCTAGTCCTGGTCGTAAAACTCTTTGTGCTGACATGTTTTATATTCAGGAAAAAGTCTGCTTGTTATATCGTGATGAGTCCAATTTACCTCCATGGAATGACAGTTTGCTGAAGCTCTTGAAGAAAGAGTGCACGGGGCCTGGTGAGCTTAACCATGAAGCACTGTGGTTTATGGGAAATCGAGTCCTAACTTGCCTTCTTGCTCACTGTCTTCTTAGCCAATGATTCAGCTGGAGAAACCAGTGCTAGCTGGTACCATGCCGGTGGTGTGGCCCACCATCCTTGACCTGGGCAGGGATGAGTGCAAAAGAATTCTGCGGAAACTGGGTGAGCTCAAAGCAGTGCAATGTTATCAGTGGCTCTGATTGAATCTCTTTTATGTGCAAAAGACCTGCAACATTTACAGACTGATGTTTGTGTGTCGCAGAGCTGGAGGCGTACGCTGGGGTCATCAGCGCTCTGAGAGCCCAAGGAGACCTGACAAAGGACAAGAAGGATCTGCTGGGCGAGCTCACTAAAATCCTCGGGTAATATTTGTTGTTTTTAAATAGTTTCTTTCATTTTTGCTTGCAGAGTTAGGTTTATTTAAAACCAGCCTTTCCTTTTTACCCTTGCCCTCACAGCATCTCTACAGAGCGTCATCGCGCAGAGGTCCGCAGGGCTGTCAACGATGAGCGCCTCACCACCATCGCTTATCAGTAAGTATGAGACTGTTTAAGTCCAGCTCTGTAATGTCTGTGGAGGAGAGCAAAAGGGACGTATTCAGGTTTTCCTCAAAGTTTTCATTAGTCTTTTCCTCATTCACTTTAGCAACAATGAGCTATTTGGCTATTTATTTAACCAACCTCTGCTCCAGTGCTTGTCAAACTGTAAGGTGTGGAGTGAAAGCATGTGGAAATAAAAGCTTTAGGTTTTAAACAGGCCTTTGTTGTACCCTGACTCTGAGCCTGAGTAACTTTGAGGACTTATAACGTTTCCTCTCGTGCCGTCCTCTAATCAGATTTCCGTTCTTTTTCAGCATGTCGGGTCCAAACAGCTCCTCTGAGTGGTCCATTGAAGGGCGGAGGCTTGTTCCTTTGATGCCGAGGCTGGTTCCCCAGACGGCCTTTACAGTCACAGCTAACGCTGTGGCCAGCGCCACGGCCAATCAGAACGCCTCCCTCCTGCTGCCAGCTGAAACAGGGAACAAAGAGGGTAAAGCCAGAAACATTCACTTTGCATCGGACTCTAGCTGTTTTCAAACACTTTGGGCATTGAATGATGTGTTTCATTTCCTCCCTGTAGTCGTGGTGTGCTACTCCTACACGAGCACCACCTGCACCTCCACCAGCACCACGGCGATCAGCGGCCCTATAGGAGCAACAGTGAAATCTCCACGGCCACCCAGCCCTTCATCCAACGTGGTGGTGCTGCCCAGCGGCAGCACTGTGTATGTGAAAAGTGAGTGTCAGCAACATCGTATCAACTTTTCTCTTGCTTTGGACGGAAGCAACATGAAAGGGAAATAATAAATAGCAACATAACTTGAGCCGACTGTTGTGATTTGCTGCTATATAAATAAAATTAAAAATACTTTTCAGGGAGGAGGCTAACTGCATGGCTAATTAACATGTCATTAAATAACACAAGTTACCAAAACTGTCATCCTTTATTTACATATGTGTTATTTAAACCAGCACAAGTGCTCAGTTAGAGAAAGCCTTTCTAACATATCAGCAGGATCCCAGCGATCCCTCAGTTTCTCTGTCACAGTTGTCACCAAACCTTCTGGTTTGTCTGTGTTTGTCTTCATATGCTGACTTGCTGGGTGTAAGTTTGTATTTTTCTTCTCTGTTAGACGGTTTATAAGAGCTCAGTGGAAGAGGCAAATGATGGGTGTGAGATGTTGGGAAGGCTGAACCGTAACATGAGTCTGAAGATTTTTGCTGATTTTGTGCTTAATTTTATCTTGGTATTAACTTTCAAACCTCACACTCACAAACATAGTCCCTTAAAAGATTAGTTTGACATATTTGAGAGCAGACCTCATGGAAGCAGATCCCAGTTTGGATTCACGAGGCAGACAGTCTCTCTACTTTTAAGATTGGGCTTAATCTTAGTTAACCTTAGTTATGCTGCTGTAGGCTCAGGCTGCTGGGGGATTTCCCATGATGCACTGAACATTTTTTTTTTCTCACCATTTGCTGATCTGGCCTCTTTTTCTTCTCCTCAGTTTCCCCGTAACTTCCCCGAGTCTCTTTCTACCAAAAGTCACTTTTTAAAAAGAAAGTTCTTCCTCCCCACTGTCGCCAAGTGCTGGCTCACTGGTGTTGTCTCTTTACCTTTGTACAGTCTTTACCTTACACTATAAAACCCCCATGCGACAACTGTTGTTGTAAGCTAGTGCTATGTAAATAATGAGCTTTATTCTTTAGTGCTTTATTTCTTGTAACTGATGGCAGAGAGGTGCTGCACTTGAAATCACTTCTTTTGCATGTGAACGTGTTCAGACTTGAAAGAAATTTCCAGCCCTCCAGAAACAGTTTCTCATTTAAATGAGTGCCGATGTCTTTGAGTAAAATGTCTAAATAACTTTGAAGTAAATGTCATTTTATTGATGCGTTCTTTAACCTCGGAGTGGGATGTACTCTTCTTCAGCTTTCATGTTATGTTTTTATAATAGAGTTTGGAATTGAAGATAAGGAGGGAGAGACTGTGGTTTGTATATTTAAAAAAAGAAAAATCTACTGCTCAGCCTAAAGGGGGCACTGCGATGCTTGTCTGTTTGTTACAAGGTGATTTTAAACTGCTGTCTCTCTTAGCACCAGTGATTCACATACTCTCCCCACACTCCAGACTAAACTGGCTGGGAATGTGAGATCTGAGTTTCCTAAACATGGCGTCTGTTAGGACATGTTGGCTCAGGTTTGACAATCCCACCAGCATCTGCTGCCGATTAAACAGCTGGTAGAAACAATGTGTGACAGGAGAATGTAGCGCGGGAATGAGGCACCGGAAGACAGAGCATCTGTACATCATTAGAACTAAAGATGTAATTAAGAGGTTTTGATTTATGAATGAGTTAAGTTATAGAACTGTGTAGAAATTTGCAGATTAGGATTTTTACTGGTAGTTGTTAATTCATAATTTTTACCCCATAAACTTTCTTTTATTTTAGGGTTTAATGTTACATTTCTGTCACAAGCCAAGTACAGTCAGTGAAATAGACTGAATAACATTCTGCTGACTGATTTATTATTTAATCTCAGTCATCTTGTCTTGATCGCAGTCAGTACTTCTTGATTATCAGCAATTAAAAAGCAAAATCCTCAAGTGTATCCCTACTCAGTGATACAGTCTCAGTCATCCTTAATTTTTCCCGCTGATTTCGCCTTTCAGGTGTTAGTTGTTCCGATGAGGACGAGAAGCCTCGCAAGCGAAGGCGCACGAACTCGTCCAGCTCGTCTCCGGTGATGCTGAAAGAAGTTACCAAGGTGTCCCCGCCGGTATCCAAGAACATCACGGTGCCCGTGAGCGGCAGCCCCAAGATGAGCAGCATCATGCAGAGCATCGCCAACTCCTTACCGCCTCACCTGTCCCCCGTCAAGATCACCTTCACCAAGCCCACCATCCAGACGACCAGCACCACCACGCAGAAGGTGACAGTCGAACCCTACCTCGGCTCGTCTCTCTAGACGCTGCTTCTGAGTTTAAACGTCTCGTGTTTCAACAGGTGATCATCGTGACAACTTCCCCGAGTTCCAATTTCGTGCCCAACATCCTGTCCAAGTCCCACGCCCACAACAACGCCACCGCTGTGTCAAAGCTGGGGTCCACCTCTGTGCTGACCACACCCACACAAAAGCAGACGGTGGTTTTTCCAGCCAGCTCCAGCACTTCCACGAACCCCAATACCATCGCTGTGACCACAGTGGTCTCCTCCACACCATCAGCGGTCATGTCGACGGTCACACCGTGTAGGTTCCTCCTCTGTGCTCAGTTTTTCTGCCAGGTCCATCTTCAGACAAAATAAAAACGTGTGCTCCCAAAGGTGCTAAGAGAACAGCAGGGCTCAAAATAAATTAGTTAGTTAGTGAATCAAAAAAACACCAGATTATTCTCAATGCTAATTATTCAGTTTGGTTGTACTGTTCCATGGCTCTGTGCCTTTAAACTCCAGTGCTTTGTAGGTTGGATTGCATGATACGACACATGAATTTAAAGCTGTATTATTAACTGTTTTGTCCACTTGGGGGCAGCAGAGAATAACAACTTAACATTTCAGCTAATTAAATTTATAAAAATACATTTGAGTGAATAAATATGTCAAATATTAGGGTAAAGCAGTAAAACTCCGACTTGGGAGACTGAGCTTTTTTTTTTTTCTTGATGACTCAGTTTATGTAGTTATTAATATAGCTGCTGATTTCATTTCTGTTCATTTACTACTCTAGCAGTAGAGTACTAATATTACTTGTTAGGGACGTACCTTATCTTTCCAGTACGAGCTGAAATCACTGGATCGGTTATATCAGTGGTGTCCAAGCCAGTGCCGGCCGGTGTCCTGCAGGTTTTACATGTGTCCTTGATCCATCGCAGCTGATTTAAATGGTTAAATTATCTCCTCAACATCTCTTGAAGTTCTCCAGAGACCTGGCAATGAACTAATCATTGGATTTGGGTGTGCTGACCCAGGGTAATATCTAAAACCTGCAGGACACTGGCCCTCGAGGCCTGGAGCTGGCCAAGCCTGGGTTACGGTATATAATCTGATACGATCCATCATCTTCTAGAAGCAAGTCTTGCCATTCAGAAACATTATTTAAAAGCGGTCACCAGGACTTTCAAACTGCACATATAGATCTACAAAATCTGATTTTAAAAAATCCTTAAAAAGTTTCCACCTTGCACCAAAAGTTATTTTTACCACCATCCTTGCTTTTGGCAAATTATCCAATTGAATTCTTCGAGTGTCTTCCACCTTTCATGGTGTATCTGGCCTTAATTGCTTAATGTCAGCATGCCATAAAGACTCAAAACTGTCATGTTATCAACAGCTTAGTTGCTCAAGAGAGGGGAAAAGTCAGTATTAGTGGATAGACATGACAAAGTAGTATTAAGTTAACCTTTGTAAAATAGTTTTTTGTGAAAACACATCAAAATAATGTTAATGATACTTTACTGATTAAAATGATTTTGAGTCATTAGTGTAAAAAGATTTAAGCTCGTGGGTTTTAATATGATTTTAACCAGATAACCTCTCTTAAATGTTCAATCTTCTAGTTTTGCAAACATAACATTAGACATGAGGGGGAGGAACCTTCTCTGGGACGTCACCTGTTAGGTTTTGTATCTTACCGTCAAAGTTGTCGGTTGCAGGTGGAGTTTCAGCTGGAGTGAAGGTCTCTACAGCCAGACTTCCTTCACCTAAGACACTAGTGGCCTCACCCACTCAGATCCTGGCCCAGTTCCCCAAACAACAGTCACCCAAACAGCTGCAGCAGAGCTCGCCTTTAGGAGCGTCCAACGTCGGTCAGACCCAGACCACCACCTCCTCACCGGGAGCCAAGCCCACCATTCAGATCAAACAAGAGTCCGGTAACCATGACGAGCCTTTATTGTTTGTTTGTGTTTCAGTTCTGTCATTTTATTTCATTTTAACCACGTGCTGTTTGCAATACCTGTATTATATCTATTTCACAAAATAAGCTCATATCTTTTTTTTCCTTTTTTTTTCCTTTTGCTGGTGGTTAACCATTTTCTTTCATATGACGCACAGCTGTTTGAAAAGAAACAAAGCACGACAGTGAATCTGTTTAGAAAGTGAATATCGTGATACGACCGCACTGTTTGTTAATGTGTGGTTTGTGTGCAGGGGTGAAGATCATCACTCAGCAGGTGCAGCCCAGCAAAATCCTGCCCAAGCCTTCGGCGGCTTTGTCCAGCAGCAGCTCTTCTCCCATCATGGTTGTCAGTAGCAACGGAGCCATCATGACCACAAAGCTGGTCACTCAGCCCACAGGTGAGTGGGGGCGAGGGGATCAAAAACTCCACATCTGATCCAGGAAAGGAGAGATCGCGTGTAACTTAAAGGTCGTCTTTGTGACCAGAGTAAAACTGTAATGACGCCTGTGACTCTTTGTCATTCAGATTTAATCATAGACTATTTAAACAGAGTTAATTATCTCACCGGTAATGTGGCAGCTTAATTTAATCCTCGATGGAGACGCTCCTGTCGATATCTTTAAGGTGGACAACAGTAATTCTGTATTCCTTCGTGTAGCTACCCAGACCACCTACACGAGACCCACTGTTAGTCCCAACATCGGGGCCAGAATATCAGCCTCCAGTGGCGGGACCACTTACGTCAAGACCACCAGCGGCAGCATCATCACCGTGGTGCCCAAGTCTCTGGCCACTCTGGGAGGAAAGATCATCAGCAGCAACATCGTGTCCGGTGAGTCAGAGGGAGGTCTAGAGCGCTTCTACGTTCAGTGCAAGTTTCTCATCAGTTCTCGTCCGCTGCAGGCACGACGACTAAGATCACCACCATCCCCATGACCTCCAAGCCCAACGTCATCGTGGTGCAGAAAACCACGGGCAAAGGAGCGACCATCCAGGGACTGCCCGGCAAGAATGTGGTCACCACGCTGTTAAATGCTGGGGTCAGTTGATGAGCGTGATAGCATTCTCACACGTGCGCTAAACTCATAGGAGCAGTTAACCTTTTTTTAGAGAGAAAGATTAGTCTGTCTGTCTAGAGCTTAATTCAACATTATATAATATTTAATATCAATAATATAAAATGCTTGTGTAACCAACATATGAGGTGTAGTGCAGAACTGGTTATTGGGGAAATCATGCGGACTTCCCGGCTGTAATTAGTTTGTTTGCTTTCAAAATATTAAGCCTGCTGTGTTTTTACCTCATTATTTATAAAGTCTTTGACACATTTAACTTTATTAATTCAGGGGAATTTTCAGGAAATCCCTCATCATGTTCGCATATTTACACCTGACAGCTGACCACAGCCTGATCCCCGGGCCCACCAGTTCACTGCTTCTTTCACTTTCACCACTCAGATTTACAAGCCCAGTTCTTTACTATAAGTCACTGCGTCCTGCTTCAGATTCAGATATTGTAGCAAAGCTAGCTTGCTTTTGCTCTACCTAAATAGTTTATGAAGAATGTGAGTAGACGTGTCAGTTATATGGTTTAAGTGTGTGTCTTATGATGCATTGTCAAAATGCAAAGATCTGCGACCACAGGAAGAATAGCTGCTGCGTTTCTGCAGCTAATGGTGATCTTCAGAAACTAAACCTCTATTAGACATCTTTAGCCACTTTGGTCATTGTACTGGATAACTCGAGAACAAGTAGGATTTTCAAAACAGTACCATAGGTGTGTCATCTAAAAATGGCTGATGAGTTTGAATTTCTGTGACCTCAACCTCAAGGTGAAGGTTAGAGGTCAATATTTCTGAAAATGTAATGACCATTGTAATTATTTCAGATATTTTATATCAGCGGTCCCCAACCCTGGGCCACGGGCCGGTACCGGACCATGAGCTGTTTGGTACCAGCCGCGAGAGTTGAGGCTCGGGTGTGAAGTTTTTGGTTTTCAGGGTTTTTATCATTAACTCGGTTTCTCTGGGTCTTTTCCCGTGTTGTAGTTTTGCGTCTTATTTTGAAAGAAATATTTGCGTGTTACCATAGCGACCAGAGACCATTAAGGGGCAGAGAGGAGGATGTTACTCTCAATGTTATTGGGGCATTTCAGGAGGACGCTGTTACACAATTACACAGTGAATTTGCGTTTATTATTATATTCACAAAATACCACAGTTTTTGCCTTGGTCGTGTCATTTTATTTTGTTGTAATTATCCGCGACACATATGAAAGACAGTGGTTCCTGGCCTTTTGGCTGCTGCCTTGTTGGTCTTTTGAAGTTACCCATGTGTAACGTTAACTAACGCTAGCAATGGTTGAATGGCTGCAATCCTTGGACGGACAAATCTGTCATGGGAAAAATTTGAATTTCAGTCACCAAGTCAGAAGTACAAACTTTTTGTATGGGCTGTGCTCACAGCAGGTCATGTTATTTGTCAGAAAACTGCAAAAAAAAAAAAACATCAACAGGCAACGAACAGTTGGGAGGTTCAGTGTTTGAACAGCTGCCTATGGCTGCGCTGCTAACGCTAAACCTTATTCAAGTGCATGAGTTCTAAAAGAAATTTCAACCCCTGTACAGTTATTGTGAAGGGGGAACCTATCTATAGAGACCAAAAAACATGTTTTTGTGCCTGACTGTGAACAGTTTGGCACAAACTTTAAAGTTGGGAATGTGGGAGTCTATGGGGATTGACTCAGTGGTGAAATTAGTGGAAACGGGGGGGGGAGGTTGGAAGTCTATAGTTCCCACCGGATTTGGTCAGTGAGTATGGGTTCCCACAAATTTATGTTTTAAATTAGGTTTCTTGCAATTCGTGCTTCCTTTTCTTTTATTCAGTTTTATTCGTTTTTTGGCTAAAAAGAATCCTAATGAGCGTGCTACGTGTATGCTGCAGGGGGAAAAGGGCCTTCAGGCAGTTCAGGGGACCAAACCTGCAATCATCACCGCCTCCAGACCCATCACTAAAATGATCGTCACCCAGCCCAAAGGCATGAGCTCCGGGTCCCAGGCCACCGCCACCAAAATCATCCCGACCAAGATCGTTTACGGCCAGCAGGGCAAGACGCAGGTGAGACGTGTTGTTTTTTTTTTCCACCATATTTGTTTAATAAAATGTAAATATCATCATTACAAACTGGTTGACCGCAGCCCGCTGAGGTTATCACATGACAAACATCGGGTGGATAATCATGTGACCTTTTGACTGACAAGTAACCGCAAGGGTCATGTGATACAAGTGCAGGAAGAGCCATGTTTATCTTAAGAGTAATGGGTATGGGTTTCTTCCTCTGAAAATGGGAACAGATCTGCTCAAGAAGGAGAAGAGTGCTTTTCATGGAGCTCAGTAGGTCAGTCACCTGCGCTGGATGTTTCCAGAGAAGTGAGATGTGGTTATTTAAAATCAATGTACAGCTACTTAAGCAGAAGGGGAAAAAATCCCCTTGTTCTATAGGCAGATGTATAGCAGGAGCTTTAACACTTACCTTTCCTGTTCCTCCCTCAACTTCCCCTTATCACACAGAGCTGAATGCTGTGGTAGTTATTTGATCTGCTGCTGTTGGTCAAACAGCTGCAGACTGCATTGTGACATGATCATGTTTCTGGCCTGCTGTATTATACCTGCATTAGCCAATTGTCTGAGCACAGCAACGAGCTGTAACCACAACACTGACATGTTATCGCCCTTAAGTTGATCGTGTTATCAAAAGGGATACGTGTCTGGACATCAAGCACACACAGAGAAACAGGGAGGCAGATGCGTCAGTTGAAAGATGTGACCCACAAATTGTGTCCACTGATGTTTTTTTCCCCACAGTAATTAAAAACCTTTCGATGTTTCATTACTTTTTTCACCAAGAACATACTTATGGGCCACTTTAATAGGTACACTTGTTCTATTGCTTTTTAATGGACATCTCTAATCATCCAGTCAGACGGCAGCAACTCAGTGCATGTAGGGATGTGGTTTAAATCGAGCATCAGACTGAGGGAGACAATTGATTTAAGTGACATGATTGTCAGTGCCAGATGGGCTCATCTGAGCAGTCCATAAACTGCTGATCTACTTGGATTCTCTTGGAAAAAGAAAACATATCTTGTCAGTGGCCGTGCCTTGTTGATGTCAGAGGTCTGTGGAGAATGGCCAGACTGCTTCAGGCTGATAGGAAGGCAACAGTTACTCAAATAATCAGTTGTTACAAACAAGGTATGCAGAAGAGCAGGTGGGCTACAGCAGCAGAAGATCACCTGACATCTGAAAACAGAAAATTCAGGTTACAGTTCGCACAGGCTCAGCAAAATTGGACAGTACACAATTGGAAAAACATTGCCTGGTCTCAATTTCTGCTGCAATTTGGATTGTAGGGTCAGAATTTATTGGGCAGTACACAAATAACATTAAAGCATCGATCAGTCCCACTTTCTATCAAAGGCTCAGAGCTGCTATTGATGCTGGTGTAATGCTGTGGGGGGGTCAGACTTTCTGCTGAACATTTTGAACACCACAGCCTGAGTGTTGTTGCGTCCAGCAGGATGTCACAAAGCTCAGATCATCTTGTTTCTTGAACATGACAATGAGTTCACTGTCCTCAAATGGCCTCCACAGTCACCAGATTTCACTCCACTAGAGAACCTTTGGGATCTGGTGCAGCAGGATGTGCAGCAACTGTGTGATGCTGTCATGCCAATATGGACCATTATCTCCGAGGGAGCAACTTGTTGAATCTGTGTGTAATGTGACTTTAGCTGAGCCTGAATTCAAACTGGAGGTTGTAAAAGCCAAAACAGTGAGCTGAAAGAGGCTAAAGTTCACCAGAGGGGAACTGCAGAGTGAGGTGACACAGGTATTGTGGCCAGTGGACTTTTTGTATTTTGTATGCTATTAGTATCTCCTGAGCTCTAATTTGTTTTTTGTGCCCTTATTTAGCAGAAGCTACAGTTCAAAGTCCACAGCTTTGAAATCAGCCACTGTCGTTGACCTCTTTCAGTTCCTAGGGGGGTTTTATTTTGTCTATTTTTGAAAACTTCTGGAGAAATTCTTAGATTTCTGACAGATGTTAAATGACTAGCGAAAGCATATATAGTAATTTAAGAAGAAACACCCACAAAAAGGTTGTTCAGACTAAAGCCTGCAGCCTCCGCCTGATATTTCAAGACCTTTTGGGGGAATTTGAATTCAAGATAAAATTGTCAGAAATATTCTGAGAGGGTAAGTCCCACTACGCTGGTTTCCAGGTCGTTTTGTGCTGCAAACACACAAAGTTAAAGTGAAGGGTTAATGAAAACACGAGCTGTCAGCCACACAGTGTTAAAAATATCTCTCTAATAACAAAAACATAAATCACAAGTTCTGCAGATTTTTTTTTTCTTTGTCTTTTTCACATTGATTCACAAATACTTTGTCATTGTTTCAATATCAGACTTCTCAAAAAAAAGGTCTAAATTCAGAATTCAAGGTTCGTTTTTAGTCATCGAGGGGAAACTGTGGTCAGTGAGTAATGAGTACTGTAGTTACCGAGTTAAACACCCACAGTGCTAATCTGCTGTGCAGTTGGAGTGAAACCACTAATTGCCACATTTTCTTAACTGGCTTAAATACCAGCGTCTCTTTTCTCTTTTCCAGTGACGAACATGACACCTGTTTACCAAAGTTTGTTTCCAGTTTCTGTAATATTTAAACTGTTTTTCTCAAGCAGTCAGTTTCGACGTTTATGACCTAGTTACTCAGCAGCCGCTGAAGCAGACGGAAAAATGACTCAGCTAATGTCAGCGTTCATGAGTAAGAAACTCGTAGTCTAAATAACGTCTTCCGACTAACTCCGCTGTAAAATGTTTGATAAGAAGCAACTTGCAGCCTCCGATGAGCCGTCTGACTCGAGGCAAAGCTGTGCTTTATTTATAAAGTGAACTTTATTGTGTCACTAACGACAAATTAGCCTTACGGGACATTTAAGAGCTGCACGCTCTCTGGGTTTTTTGTTAAAAAATTTTTTATCAGGCCTCGCCATCAGATATTTTATGTTATTGTTTATTTGCAAAAAAAAGTTTTTAGAATTTCTCTTTTCTTGAGGGGAATCCCCCAAACATTAAGCTGGCTGTGGAGGCTGTTATTAGCCCACTACATAAAATAGCCACTTCATTGTCATTCAGAACAGACTCTTTAGATGGTGCACATATTTTGGAACATTTTACTCGCCATTGGACTACACAACACAAATAAATCTGAAGTATAAAAAAATTAAAAAAGAATCTACTATATCTTTATACATGTTGTTGTTATTATTATTATCCTTAACCAGGGTTACACTTGTAACAACAGCCGAGAAGCCTTAGAAGAACTGTAAAGATCAGGATGGCTTGACCAATGGTGCACTCGCTGGTGTAGCCATCTCTTGTTACCATTAAGAGGGAAGGAAGCACTTCCTGGCAGCAGCAACAGTGTGTCTGCACATAAGCAGTGAGAGTTGCACCCACACAGTTGTGTTTCTCCATTTGTGCACACAGTAAACTATGTTAAAGGTGGCCAGTTTTATTCTCATGCCAATCCGTCTCCGTTTCTCTGCACCGGTTCATGGTAATCCTGTCCTCTGTGTTTAGTTTTGTAATAAAACTGCATAGGAGTCTCCCTTTTAATGAGAGAATATAAATGACAGGATTCTTCCAGGAGGGCTATCCCTGGTAGATGTTGTGTGTGTGTGTGATGCATCTGGTGCTCACGTATGATGATGTGGTTCCAGGGCCAGCTTTAAGGGAAAAACGTAAACACCATGATGCAAAGATTAGAATCAGTTTAACAGGTTGTGGTGGATTTGTGGGTTCCTTTCACCTGGGAGATTGGAATTTATGTCCCGTCAAAAAGCACCGAAAAGTCAGGTTTGACTTATTTTATTTCAATTAGTCTAGTTTTAGTTTTCAGAAATCTACCTTTTCAAAAATAACTCAAGGCTGTCTCGTCTGCGGTCTACTACATGACACAACTGCTTTGCCTACGTTATCACATTAGTTGTGCATTATTTTGAGGCCATATTAAGGGGAAGTAGTATTCTTCCTGGAACATGCAAAGCTATGACATAACGGGAGCCTTTTGTAATAAGAACCCATGAAAAGCATTAATAATGACGTCGTAGGAACAACGCCTAACACGTCAGATCTTGTGCACAAATCTTTACACAATTGTGACGCAGCAGATTTGCAACATGGGCCTATGGTTCCTGAATGCTACTGAGGAACCACTGAGTCACTGTGTACTTAACCTAATTTTCCATTTCCCACAGAGAGGCAAATTCTATATCGTAATAAATCCTTTATAAAAGTTCAGCCGAAGGTGACTCTGTTCAAACAGATGCCAGACAGTGGGAGTTATTACAGTGTAACATATAAAGAAAAGGAGCCCTGACGGGTTCAGTCAGGTGAAGCTCACTGATGGTGTGCGAGGATGGTGGCAAGCAAGCTAGAGACGCTCGTGGAAGCAAAACATCCCTGATCGAATGTTGTCTTACTTAAAAAATACAAAATAAAAAAGGGCAATCGTGGCTCAAGAGTTGGTAGTTCGTCTTGTAATCGGAAGGTTGCCGGTTCGAGCCCCGGCTCGGACAGTCTCGGTCGTTGTGTCCGTGGGCAAGACACTTCACCTACCGCCTGCTGGTGTTGGCCATATGGCAGCCCCGCTTCTGTCAGTCTGCCCCAGGGCAGCTGTGGCCCTGTGGCTAGCTTGCCTTCACCAGTGTGTGAATGAATCGTGGAATTGTAAAGCGCTTTGAGGGTCTCAAAAAGCGCTGTATAAATGCATTATTATTATTATTATTATTATTATTATTATTATTATTATTATTATTATTATTATTATTATTATTAAAAAACAGAAAAACTGCGTAAAAGCGTTGGATTAGGGCGATGGAGGTAGTTACATCCCAGTAAGGCTTAGTGCAAAGCAGAACACATCCCACACAACAGCAGCCAAGAAATCACAGGTGTCACGATGCAAAAATGGCATCAAAAGTGCTCTTGTGTTACAATAAAGTAAAAAGAAGAAGTGATAACAAGCCAGGTGATAAAGAGGTTGTTTAGTGCAGATCAATAAAAATGTGTGTCGACATTCTGGTTTGACCTTTGATGTGTTATTGATATAAAAAAGTGAGTGAAAAGATTGTAAAATGTTAACATTGAAAGACTCGTTGTGACCGACTGCGTGGAGGAAGAGAGAGAGATGGAAAGTAGTGGAAGTCTGAACGGATATTGAAACATCTGGCCTGCCACAACAGGAGGTTACAGAGGCAAACGCTTGCTTTCAGGCTTGTGTTTTCACTCATTAGGACTATAGTTCCTTATCAAGTATAATGAGGAGCACACACCAGTCAACAGCTTTCAGGACACTGTATGCTCCTCTGGTTTCCTGCAGGTTCTCATCAAACCGAAGCCGGTCTTCCAGACAGCGGTGGTGAGCGAGCAGACCCGGCAGCTGGTCACTGAGACGCTGCAGCAGGTGACCCGCTCCGCCGAACTGAGTCAGGGTCAGACCCCAGGCCAGGACGGGGCCACAAAGGATGATGCCGGCAGCCTCGCGGAGGCCAGCAGCTTAGTCAGCGAGGCTTCCCAGGGCAGCGCTCAAGGTATGCCTCCCTTTACTTTTCCCATGACGCAAAGATAGGAGATAAACTACTGCTTCTGTGGTGTTTGCCTCAGGATTGTTGACTGAAATGTGATGTGTAACCGCTGGTTTAAAAAAACAAAAACTGTCCGCTCCTCAGAAGCGCAGCCTGTAGTGCACGTGGTGTCCTCCAGAGAGCAGGATTGGACTGAGCAGGAAGTAGCTGTGGAGTCCAGCCCCACCATCATCTACCAGGAGGTATCTGGCGGGGAATCCCAGTCGGCCACTTCCACCATAAAAGCTCTTCTTGAACTTCAGCAGACATCAGGTGAGCCATCACGTCACAGAAAAAGCTGCAGGTGTCACAGGAAGAGGAGAGGAGAGGTGGGGGTTTACCACCAGTGCACATGCTGATTCAGCAGAGTTCAGAGGAGCTCGAAAAAAACAGCTCGAATGCTTCAGCTTCATCAGAAATACAAACACAGGAGGTGTTCGCCTCAAGTGTCAAACTAATTTTCAACACGTTCCTGAAACTGCCGAAGCACGAAGAGCTGCTGGCCAACAGTAATTATGCATTTCGTGCTCGAGGCTTTGCTTAGATACTGAGCTCATTGGATGGGAGACCTGTGGAACAGGACTGATGTAAGCAAATGCAAAGGTAAAGGTTTCCCATGGAATATTTGAAGGTGGGAATTTTTTTTAAAATATTTAAATACTCACATTAGCGGCACCGCGGAGCAGCCGATAGCATTTATCTGGCTGTGAGTGAAAATTCCCAAAGAGGTAATTGCTGTTTAGTGCGCAAAACCTGATCCATAATGAAGGTAATACCCAGTGTTGTCTGTAAAACTCTTTAGAGCGTTAATACTCAAAATACATAAATTTTTATAAAGCTGTCATGAACTGGAGACAACGAGCTTTTTGTATGTTTTTAAAATGAGATCACATTAACGAAATGAGGTCCAAATTATCGGCAAAGAAGTAACCTTAATCTAACCTAACCCTGTGTTTGGATGATGTCTTGTTTTTTTGGGGGGGTGGGGTGTTTTTTAGACCTCGGAGGGTTAAAGGCATCTGTTTTAGGTCATAGCATCATATTTGAGTTTATAGAGTATATTTCTGCAGCACAGCGGTCCAAAAACTGCCGTACTCGTCGCTCTGGTGCTCAATTTATCGTTAATATTGGTCTCACATATTCATTTATCCCAATTCTGGTTTTACTTTGCAGTTTGTTTGGATTTTCTTTTTAAGAGGAGACAGTGTAACTCAACACTTCCTGCACATATGTTTCAAATTAAAAGCCCAGCAGCTCAGGGGTATAATCCCCCAATTTGCCCCCTTTTTTTTTTTTTTTTTTGGAGATCTAATATAACTTCCCTGTTACAAAAAAAAACCTGAGACGTGATTCACCAAAAAAAACACAGATTTTTATCGTAATTATTTTGTTGTTGTTTTCCCCCGATTCTGCCAGGAAAGCAGATCTTCCTCATTATAAGAAACGGTTTTAATTTGTTCCAGCTGTTCCAAAACCGATGTGGCAGTCAACCTTTACTTACTTTTGAAACGCTTAAGTGAAATGCACGTTCATGGAGCCTCCACGGTTTTTAGCTAGTCAGCAAAAAGAGTTGCACACCACCGAGTAAAGAAACTATTGTGCTTTGATTACGTTTCTATAAAAAGGGTTTCCACACAGTCAACTTAACCTGTTTTACAAGCTGCCTGTTTGCGGTTCAGCGACTTTCTGTAGTTTCCTGTCCACGCCTCCGTGTTAGCTTGGATTCAACAATCAAAACACAAATTATATCTGTGATAACAAAGAGCTTCTCGTGGCAAATGGTACACCAGACCTCAAAGGTGTATCGTATCATGAACATGCTATTTACAATGTTATCATTGGGTTTTTTAGGGGTTTTTCTTTTGTTCTTTTGCATTTCTACGGAAACAAGACTGCCTCCCAGCTTTATTAGCAGTTATAAGTTTCTCCACCTGTGACTTTGCAAACAGGTAACCAGTGCGCTGGAACTTTCGCCCACTCGCTGCTCACTTCTTCCAGGTTAAGAGTGAAGGGGAGAATCACTACATGCCGCAGACACAGATGTTAAACACACTGCTGTTATGAAGTTATGCATCAAAATGTGTTTTAGCCAATTTAAAAGTGTCAGTTTGAGTGTAGGCTGTATTTTGTGGTGCTTAGCAGCTCTCTCAGCAAGTCTAAATATAGCCTACAGTCAGTCAAGCTAACGCTTGCTTTATCTGCTTTAGTGTTACTAAACTATGCTATTTACTGAGACGCTCGAGCCAAATAAGTCAAGCAGCTGGTCTGCACCACTGAAATCTGGATTATGCAGGCAAACAGAACTTTCCGTTCAAGTGTCAAAAACAAAAATCAGCTGGATTTAAAACTAAGGTGATTGCTCAGAGAGAAAGTTGGCGTATACAGGCATGGTGCCAAAAAAGCCTGAAACTTTAAATGCACATTTATAGGAACAGTTTCTGTCTGCTAGCCCTCGCTCGGGCCTAACGTCGAGCACAAGTTGGAAATAATCAGATGAAGTTAACAGTGAATATGAGCTGTAAACATGACTGAATTGGTAAATGATGCTGAATTTCACTGTTGTTCGTCTTGACAGTGAAGGAAAAGGGAGAATCCAAACCCAGGCAGCACACCATCGACCTTAGCCAGATGGCTGTGCCCATCCAGTTGGCCCAGGAGAAGAAGCCCAGCCCTGAATCCCCCAAACCCTCTACCTCAGAGGCTGAACCCACCGCTGAATACGTCGCAGGAGGTAGTCCTCTCCATCATGCTTCATATTCAGCACTTTGCAGTTCCTGTTTTTGGTGCCAGTCATGATTTCAGTGGAATGAAATACAGTTCAAACTAAAACCTCGCAGTGGGCAGCTTGTGAAACATGGTTCTCCTTTTTAGGTCATTTAGTGACGGAAGCTGAAGTGTGTGTGTGAAACCCACTACCACTTTTAATACCTCATCATCTGACAGCATGACTAATTTCACTGCAGGAAAAGCCACCAGAGTGGGAGTGCCCTCGCAGGATGAAGAGGTGGTTATGTCCTCCAGTCAGCAGCTGGGGAAGCCATATAAAACAAGCACAGTTGCTGTGGTAACCAAACCTGCTGCTGTCTCCTCTGCGGCTCCAGCGTCACACGTGGTGAGGGTTGGACTTTGGTCTTAAGGGTACAAAATAAATATCAATGTATAAATGTGTTGCAGAGAAACGGGTCAAACCTTGTGTCATGTGTTCTACAAATATATCTGAGCTCCTCTCCGATCCACAGAAAACTGGTGTAAACTGCTTTCACGGGAACGGTTTCTCTGCGTGAAAGTAGTAGTTTCAATGCAAACCTTTCATCTGGTTTGGTGGATTACCACCGGAGACAAAATGCTTCCTGGGAATTTTTCTCTTGTTCTTTGTGAAAGCATGGCAGTGCAGTTTTTTTCTTATTTATATTGCAGTTATTGTCTTGGTTTCCATGTTTGTTTGTTTTTTTTAAACAATTGTTTGGTGTCAGAGGACAGAAACCGAGAGCAAGTTGCCACAAAGTGCAGCGTCTTCAGCTTTTGAAAAAGTATAAAAACAAACAGTTGAGTTTGATGGGTTTTTTAATGTTGCACAGAGAACCTTTTAAATTAAATAAAAATCCCCTTTATGGACTTCCTGTGAAAATCTAATTAATCCACGTGATTCAGGAGCTTGTAGGTCCACCTTTAGCAGCAATAGCATGAGTTGCTGTTTTCTGTACGACTTCTATCAGTGCGTTACTTTGTCTCACATCGTTGTGGAGAAATTTGGCCCACTCTTCTTTACAAAGTTGCTTCGGTTCACTGATCATTCAGTTGTGCACAGCTCTCTTAAGGTTCTGCCACAGCTTTACCATCAGATTGAGGTCTGGACTTTGTCTTGTAGATTTCCTGCTGTGCTTGGAATCACGGTCCTGTTACATGATCCAAGCTTGAAGTGTCAAACAGATGGCTTCATGCATACCTTACTCAGTGGCTGCAAGGTGCCCAGGTCCTGTGGCTGTGAAACAAACCCAAATCAATAAGCCATCCTCTGCCGTGCTGACAGTTGGTATGCAGTGTTTGTGCTGATGTGCAGCGTCTGTTTTTCCGCAAACACGTTGCTATGGATTATGGCCAAACATCTCCACATCAGTCTTGTCTCTCCACAGGACATTGGCCCATCTATGCATAATGTGTATGAACATTCCACGCAGAAATTAATAGGGGTGGGGGGAAAAAAATCGATACTGTGTAGTATCGTGATATTTTGTTTGCTAATAATGTATCGATACAGGGACAGCAGAAATCGATATTTTGTTACAAAAAAAGTTTTTGTGGACTGGAACTCTGACTTCAGAGCATGTTGATCAGCTTTTTTTCTGAGCAAGAATCCTGACATTCCTTCACTGTCCAAATGTGTTTAACTTTTTTTTTTGGCAGCAATAAACATGACAGTTTACTTATTTTAATTTAAGACATGTTTTATTTAAATTAAGTTTAAAACTTTTTTATTTAATGTAAAATTATATTTTGTTTTAATTTACTGTCAAATTCTTCAGTTGCTGAATGGGCTGCATAGTTATCATAAATTGCATAGTTCAGAATAGCTATAATTGCACCAGATGGTTGCATTCAGTTCAGTTGGACTAGACTGTAATACAAACCGTTCAGTTTGTCAACAATAAAACTGACTGACATGAGAGAAAGACTGAGTGCGAGACTTTGATGTTAGATAAAATGAATATTGATAAAGTTTACCTTTATGTACAGAATCGGAATCAGAATCGAATATTGCAAAATATTTTTAAAAATTGCAATAATATCGTATCGTGCGTTAAGTATCATGATAATATCGTATCGTGGGATATATGGTGATTCCCACCGCTACAAATTAATGATTTATCAATATTCTTGTGCCTAATCTTTAAAATCAACTTAATAACACTCATTAATATTAGTATCGTCTTTTGGTCATTACTTATGGTTTTCAGAAAACACTGTAAGCCATAAAATGCTCAGTTAGTTAATTGACATATTACAATATTGCTCTTATCTTAAAAAAAAATTGCATCTGTCCTGCTGTGCGTGGAAAATAACAGCCCTACTTCATCCAAGACCTCGGAAAACATTTTCCGGATTAGTTTATGGGCTCAGTTGCTACTTTCAAGCTTTTTTGAATGCAACATGAATGAATTTAGTAAATGGGTTAGGTTCTCGTTAGCCTCCAGAGGAATGATACAGCAGGGAACGCTTTAGGGCGGGTCTACCTTTTGATTGACAGGTCGCTATGTATCAGTGCACAGTGCTCCTTGTTTCTCAGTCAGAGCCACACTTCAATGGTGCATCTTGTTTCAAAAAGTCAAGATGGAAAAAACAATACAGCGCAAATCAATTGGATGAGCAATGGCTACGTCCATCTTTCTGTACAGTCTTTTCTCCATAAAATTCTCCTGTGTCGTATTTTTGTCCTGCTGACCGTTAACAGCGTCGTGTATGTGTCTTTTTTCCAGCACTCTGACAGTCATGGTAAACCTGAGGCTGTATTAGAGGCAGGAGAGTTGGAAGGAGACACTTTGGACCCCCAGACAGGCTTGTTCTACCGCTCCACCCAACCAGCAGAACCCACCAAGCAACCCGCCCACTCTGCAAGCGCTCAGCCGCCGCCTTTGAGCCAGGCCGAGGCCGAGCAGAGCCGGCACCCTTCCACCTCCACGTCCACCCAGCAGACGCCGCCGCAGCTGCAGAGCAAACCTCAGATCAGCCAGCCTTCCTCTTCCTCCACCACCTTCCCTTCTACTCCTCTTCTGACTAAGAAAATCCCCAAGCTACGAGAGCAGAGTCAGCCCAAACCCCAAACATTAACCCAGAGCCCTAAAGACAGACCTGTGAGCGCACCGACCCCAGCCGGGGCCAAGGCCACCACTCCGAGCACGCCAACCAAGCCCATGTTGACGCCACAGCTCCCGAAGCTCCAGCAGGCCCCCACATCCCACCACCGGCCCCTGCACACCTCAATGTCCCACCCTCCTCCGCTGCAGGCACACCACCCCGTCAGCACCGACAAAACCGCCTCCAGCCAGGTGAGTGGATTTTACACCTGCTCACCAGGAGTAAATTTCCAGAGGCAGCTGATGCCCACAGCTTCTCTCTTTTATTTTGTCATGATGACTTCCTGTTAAGTCACCTGATAAAACCTGTCGAGGGTGACACGTGAGTGGATTTTCACTTCTGTCCCGATCCACGACCACAAACGCATACATCCAGTCCCATGACTAGGAGATAAAAGGGAGAGGCCTACACCCAGCCTCCCCTTTTATCTCCCACTCTCCCAGGGGGCGATATCAATTTGAGTGACACCTTATGTTTATCAAAAGAGATCAGCTGCATTTTGCTGCTCAGTGCATTAAATAACTGCTGTACATCTATTAAAAACGGTGAGCAGTATTTCAATAACCTCACTGTAGAGCACCGATGGCAAATGTGGGTCAGGGCCCAGAATGAAGCCTTCAAAGCCCGCTTTCTCTATTTTAATTGCATGGTGTCGTTGTAATCCAATACAAGAATAGAAGTGAATTCAAAGTTCAAACTGAGGTAATTTAAATGCTGAACATCAATAAACAATGTGACATACTTTCATTATTAATGAAAACCCAACGTGTGGTTTTGTAGATGTTAATGTGGAGGTGTGAATCTAGTAAAGAAAGGGAATGTGCTTTTTATATCATGTGTAAACTTCCTGTTCATTTCTAAGTAGTTATTAAAATGACACATTATGAAGTTAAATGTGGTAAAGGGTGTATTTAACTTTTGGCTCATGGTTTTGGCCCGTGAATTAAAACGAGTTTGACACCGTTCCTCTAGACATGTTCAAAATTCCAACTTGGATTATTGTTCTTAAAAGCTTCCCTAAGTCTACAAAAGGGAATCCACAGCATTCCCAAGTAATTCTCAGCATCTAATAATAAGCAGTGCATGTTTCGGTGCTGGGATTTCCCTACGTTTGAGCCAAATGGAATGAACCTCTTGTTTTTTTTGTTTTTTTTCCCCTCATGTGACACACTGATAAACAAGGGGAAATTAATTTATGGCTGTGCTAATGCTGGCTGCAGCTGCTGCTTCTCTCTGTTATCTGTCACGGCAACCAAAGGCCGATTGGTGGCCAAAACAAATAACAAATCAGCTCATTTGTCACAGTTGGACTGAAGCAAGAGCTCGGTGTCTGTATATTTGGAGCTTGTGAGCCATACAGCAAGCTTTCCTACTATCTGACTTTTAAATATGAACACTTATCTTGTCTTTGGCTGAGCTGTAGCACGTACAGAGCCTGCATACGTGCCTTTGATTATCATTTCAGTTCATTATGATCTTCTTATCAGGACCTGCTTTGGTTACTGTCTCTCCTCCTGCCAGAGGTCAGCTGTAGTAATTCAGTAATAACAAGTACTTCTTCTAATTTGTCACTGCAGCAGCCAATCATCACGCAGAGTGCCACCGTCACCAAGATTACCTTTGGCAGTTCCCACCACTCGTCGCCAGTCTTCAGCAGCGGGGAGGCTTCTGCCAAACTGATCCCAGAGTCCAGCTCCGGGCCTTCTGGAGACAAGCCCTCAGTGTCGGACATCCTAAAGATCTCCATGATGGAGGCGGAGATCGATCCAAGCACGGAGCCCATGGTGGTGGATTCCTCCAGCGATTGCGGCCCTCTGGGGAAAGCTTTGGAGGTCCAGGCCGTGTCCGGCACGCTGGACTCGGGCCAGTTCATCAGCAGCTCCGGGGCCGCCATGCATCACTCCCACTCGAAGCCGCAGCAGTTCAGCTGCTTGCAGGGCCTCGCGGCGCAGAGGAGCAAGGAAGACCTGGAAGTCATCGAGGTACGTTTTGTATTGTACGTTACTGAGAAGATAAATCAGACAGCAGATAAACGTTTTTGCACAAAGAGCACATGATATGGCCACGTTATCAAAGTGAAAGCACACAAGTGGGTTTTTTTTAATGGACGGTGGATAATGATAATCAGATACTTATAAACTTTAAAGTCCTCGGTTAACTAAACAACTGATTTTCAGCCAAAACTAAAACGTTTTTCACCACAACCATAAACGCCGTCCTCTGATCCTTCATTAGGCAGCATGTGCAACTATTAAAGAGATTCAACAAAGACAAGGCTTTATTTATTATTTTTTTAAATGAACTTGGCACAGTCACAAACAAACACACCCATGCCAAACGCCTTTTTTAAATCAGGTTTTCATGCCAACAGATTTTATTTGCAAATGCTCGTCTAATGGAGCAGCTGGTCCTGTGTTTATCTCACGCTAAGCAAACATTTTTCTTAACACTTTCCCCCACAAGGGCAACATTTGACGACCTCTCCGTACCGTCAAAGACGGGTTTTGACACCTCAGTATACGTCGGTGAAGACGTGGAACACCCTCACTAACTTCTCATGCTCAGTCGGTCAATTTGTTCTAAAAGCAGGGCTGAAACGAGGGTTACCGAGACGTCCAAGGGGGAAAGAGTGAAGAAGTTAGGTCCATAAGTATTTGGACTGACAGTTTTGTGCTTTTGCCTGTGATTTCAAAATCAGCTGAGTTGTGTACAAACAAATATGCAGCGGAAGTGCAGACTTTCAGCTTTAATTTAAAAGATTTTGCGTTAACTGCAATTTTAAGACACAGTCCCTAATTTTCAGAGGCTCAAAAAATGGAAAAACTTCCAAGGATTGTTTTTTATATCTTGAAATGCTCTGCCAGGTGTTTACTGCAGCTGTCTTCAGCTCTGTTAGGCTCCGATCAGGTAACTGACCTGGCCACTGAAGAATATGTAATTCACTGTTCCCCAGCTTTACTATTACTATGTTAAGTATCCTTTGTATGAAACTGTAAAACAGAAAAGGTTTTTGTCTTTGAAGCCTAAACAGTTTCTCTGACTTGTGTCGATCTTCTCGTCTAATTCTCAGAAACAAAGGTGAACAGGTGGATTTCCCTGAAAGTCCTGTTTTGTTTCTTTAAGTCAAAGCTGAAAAAAAAATGTCAACAAGGATGGAAAATACCATCTTAAAGCATCACTACCTGATGATAAAGCCCAGAAGAAGGCACTCAGTCTCAAATGTCGGAAAATAGAGTGATTCCCCCAGAACAGGAAAAGGGAAAACGAACACTGTATATGCAAACCTATATGCTCAGTATTGACATAACTTACATTTGGTTACTTATTTCTAGCTCTATTGTTTATTCTGTGACTCATTTATCGTATACTCCACTGCAGACTGAGAGGACCATATTAGGGATATCCCCTCTCTGTGATGTCACACAGAGTCTAGAGTGGAAAAAAAAAAGTCTGAGAGGGACTATTTTCACTTACTCTGAGCCCGATCTTTCTCATACATGCAGGTGATTCCTCAGTATTCCATCCTGCCAGACTCCAGCCAGTCTAACGTGGTAGTGGAGCCCAGCGGCTTTCTGGAGATCACCAACTACACCAGCCAGCAGCTGGAGGAGGACAGCCCCATGGAGCAGGAGGTGGACAGCAGCAACGACGAGGCCGCCGCCGCCAGCCCCCCCGACCAGCCGTAGTCACTCCATGCTAAGAGACCCTGACGGGTGCAGCGCACATTTTCACTTTGGGAAAAGCAGACTGGCGATTTGTTCGAGGCCTCGGACACAGTGGACTTTAGTTAGTGTTTCATTTTGTGTAAAGTATTAGTTTGTTAGGCTCTTTTCGTCCCCGCAGCTAACGGCACATGTGGTTTTTATCACCAGATGTGGGAGCGAGGTGAAAGGATTAGTTCTAGTCCGGCTTCAGAGAGCTGGAAAGCAGTTTCTCCCAGCATACGATGTTACAGTATGGTGGACTTTCTACTTTCTAAGACATTTAAATATCATTTCATAAACATACAGCTGAGCAAGTACACTGCATTTAAAGTCAACCCAAAGGACCTGCAACTTCTGAGGGGGTCATAGAGATGAGTAGCAGCAGAAAAGATATTGAAAATGCCTTAAACACCAGACATAAAAGCCCTTTTTAGACATTATGCATGACATCACTGCCTCCAGCCATCTTTTTAAATGAAACCTTTATTGTTATGTTCCTCACGGCCTCTTTTGCACCTATTACAACTTTACCACTAGTTTGATGTCTCATCAAGAACCGGTTTGATGTGTTTTCACCCCCAAGAAATTCTATCAAAGGTGATTTTCCTTCTGCAGAAATTCCCAAAAGCTTTGCTCATAATGTTGCAGACTCAATGAACCTGTGCCCATTCTCCAAAGACCGAGTGTGTCACACACAGGCTCAGAGGACGGAGCCTCCCATGAAAACAAATCACAACATCTTTGTTTTATTTAAAGTTAGGAGCATAGTTGGCAATATAAAATCTAAAAATCTGTCATACCACTAACAACATGCAGTCATAATCTCACGTGGTGTTTTATAGAAAAGTGCCCCGGGTGCTTTTTTTTGTTTTGGATATGAAATCGGATGATTGGAAAGGATGTCTGAAAGGGGCTTTGATAATTCACACAAAAGAGGGAACTCGATCAGGTCTGCAGACCCAAACAACCCCAGAAGTTTGGAAGCTTTCAGAAATAATTCTTGGAACTTAATTTAGACCGGGGCTTCTCCGAGGGACGTCGTCCTGGAAAAATCAGCTCACGCCGTTCCTGAGCGGCGACTCGTAAATGGACAGCTTTTGGCGTCAGACGGATTGTATTTTTTCTCGACTCATTTTGTAACTCTCCAACACTTTACAGGGTTTTCAGAGGAGGGAACAGAGCTGGAGCAGATTGATATATATATATATTATTTTTTTCTTCTGTGAGGAACATGACGCAGAACCACAAAAAGAGTCCTGGAGGACCAATAACGTCCAACGTAAGAGTTGCTGCTCAGTGTAATTTTGGAGTGCTTAAAAAAAAAAAAAAAAAAAAGGAAAAGAAGCAAATTGAGCGATGTACTTTTTTTTGTAAGATGTATTCCAGAGTCCAAAAAGTTGCAGTGAGAATTTCAATAAGTACGCATTTCTTTTCTACCTTTTCAAACTGTCTGACTAGATGAAAAAAAATTTAATCTGCACAATAAATCAGCTGAGTACAGCCGGTTGTGTTTGTCTCGGTCCAATTGTTTGAAAACAAAGAGTTTCAAACAAAAAAACCCCGTCCATCCTTGACAGGCAGAAATTCCTCTGCTTTGAATAATGTTTGTCTGGTGAGGTTTGTCCATTTTCATTTTCCCTTCAGGCTTTTGGAAAAACATGATGATGAACTTGACCTCACGCCACAAAAACACCAGCACATCGGCACCGTGCACATTCAGGTTTCTTTTCTTACTACACTGGAATATGTGAAGCTTTGAGAGAAAAGCTGCCCCGTTTCTTGTAAAATTCCTGTTCAGAGGGAGCTTTTGCTGCTTTTTTTTTGTTTGTTTGTTTGTTTGTCTTTCTTTCGTTTTACATTAAACGCCTATAATCTTCACGTCGCTGCTTGTGAGGCATAGATAGGTGATTGACAGCAAAACAGAAGACGACCCAAAGCGATCAGGATGCGATTAGGCTGCAAACGCACGTCTGTGTCTGGCTGGAGGCCTCCGTGTGTTTTAGAAAAGCCTGTTTTTACTGGTATTTAATGAAGACAATTTCCCAAACTTGCAAGGATGGGGTGAACAGATCTGTTCTGTTATTTCACACATTTAAGAGCAATAAAGTTAATCTTTAGAGAGCTGAGCAGGTAAAAAGCTGAAAAAGAACTTAAAAAGGGAGCTTTTTACATACCTACTCACACACTGTTAATTTTTTTTTTACCATACAGTACTGTGCAAAAGTCTTCACAGACCTTATTTCTTTAGATTTTGGGTCCAAGCCAAACTTCCTGAATGTTGTTTGGGGTTTTTTTTGGGACACTGGCTGCTTTTCACTCATTTGTAGTCCAGGCCTTGTTCATGACCTTTTTCAGAGGAAGGTTTTTTGTTTGTTACGCCACTAATCACTGATCTATGAGTCATTTAAGCACATGAGGGCACACAAGGAACTAAAAAAAAAAACACAATTTCCCTTTTTTTTTTTTTTTTTTTCAGACAGGGTTTTACATTTTTAAAGTATTTTTGCAACAACAAGGTGATTCCCAAAGGGCAAAAAGCATGATGTGCAGCGTGTCCTTAAAAAGCCATTCTTAAAGAAGGGAAATGGGGAGAAAAGGTTGAGGTATGTCAAATTATATTAATTTGCCAAGAACTGGACTAAAAATCAGTGCAAACAGGTCTTGTGGAGCGATGAATCCAAATTTGAAATTGGCACTATGTACAGAGGAGAGTCAGAGGAGAGGTACCTGCACCCAATTACAACAATACCTGTCTGTGAGACACAGTGGAGCCTCTGTCATGGTTTGGGGCTGCTGAAAATTACCATAAGATTTTGATTTTCCCTGCAAATCTATGTGAAAAGTATCTGATTGGCAACAGCTCCATTTTCAGCCTGACAATAATCCCAAACGCACTACTGCAGCAGTAAAACCAAACCTGGATAAAAAAAAACGCACCGCTCAGTCTAATGCTCTAACACAGGTGTGTCGAACTCCAGGCCTCGAGGGCCGGTTTCCTGCAGGTTTTAGGTCTCACCCTGGGTCAACACACCTGAATCACATGATTAGATCATTACCAGGCCTCTGGAGAACATCAAGACATGTCGAGGAGGTAATCTAGCCATTTAAATCAGCTGTGTTGGATCAAGGACATCTAAAACCTGCAGGACACCGGCCCTCGAGGCCTGGAGTTGGACACCCCTGCTCCAACAGATCAGGATTTCTACTGCTTTTTATTCACAATTTCAAAGCACGTGCCTTTATATGCAGTTTTCTGTCTAAATATTCTACTTTGTAATAGACTTCTTCAGTTAAAGCTGGAGGATTCTAATACGCCCACCCCTCCACCTCCACCCGATCTCTTTTGAGGGAAGTATAATGAAGGTTATCAGGACAGCTGGATGACCTCCACATGCAATGACTAAGAATTGGTGGGCAATAAAAACACATTAGTTCACCACTTCTTCAGAACCAGACGGCTTTTGTGACAAGGCTTTATTGAAACGGTAATTTGGGGATTTCCCCGCCTGGCAAAACAAAACGAAAGAATTACACATGCACTTTCTGTCATGTTGAACTGCTTTGCTTGGAAAAGCAAAGAGAAATATCCTCCACATACTTTTCTTTCTCACCTTTGACCTGTAACCTGAATGTGCTGAGCGACTGCTGCAGACTGTTGCTTAGCGAAAACCAGTTTTTCCTCTACAGGTGCTTCAGAAAACTGAGCAGTACACATTTTATACGGGGCAGCTGTGTCATTCTCAGTGTGAATGCCACACTTTAAAATTGGGAACATTCGCATCTTTTTTCTTGCACACAGTGACAGTTTGACAAGAGTCCTTTGTTTCATTTACACATTCTCCACCTCTTGAACTGCAACACATTTGCAAACCGTTTTTTATAGAGTGACACGAGCCCTGTTTGGCTGTACGTAACCATCATGCATCCTCTCACTTTTGGCCTGTAAACAGCTACGGCAGCCTCCAAAATGTTTCCAGGATTTATAGTTGCTCCTGCAGGCAAGTATAAAAACCTATTTACTGCATCGTGATGTCCATGTGAGCCAGGTTTCCTGTTTATTTAAGTTTGTCGCTTGTAAAAGCCTAACCGCACACTCCCTTGTAGAGCCCAGCCATGCACTGGTGCTTTCTCCCTCCTCATGCTGTAAATGATCCAGTGGGTTCTCAAGGGCTCAGGTCCACCCAGCAGAGTCTGATTGGCTGGCCTCAACCTGCAGACATGTGGCTCTGTTTAGGAGCGTGCTGACTTAGCGTCCCTCCATCCTGCCCCCCTGCTGGGCGAGCGGTGCCAGAGTCCCACAGGAAAACACGGTTTACGCTGCTCTGCTTTCTCACCTGACTGAGAAACCGCTTCAGGGAACAGCCTCTGTGTTTAGGAAGCATGAGCATAAAGTTGTTTTAAGCTTCTTGGTTTTTAGAGCATTGTTTCATAAATAAGACTTGAAATGCTGAAATACTGGGAAGTGTTAACTTAATGTCAGCAACACGTTGTTTTTTTAAGTTGCTACATTGGCTACACTCATCACAGGATCTCCCATCAGATTGGGTTAACTGGCATCAGACCAGTAGCATGAATGGGAGAGAGGACTAGTCTTTCCGAAGATTAGAGACGTGAGAGGTTCATCATACTGTGAAAGCCTGAGTGGGAAGGTAGTTTAACAAATTATGAACAATGTTATTTTTTAGAAAAATTAGAAAGGATTCGGGGATTTCACAGATAACAGAACATAATATTATTAAAAGATTCGGGGAAGTCTCTGTACACAAGGAAAAAGGTCAGAAAAACATTATGAAAAGGTTGTGATCTTCAGGCCCTGAGGCAACATGACACTGAAAACAGACATGGCTTTGTAGTGGAAATCACACCGTGGACTGTCTGTGTGCCCCAGAATCCAAAAACAGACCGTCCTGTGAGGTCCTCGCCTTCTTTGGGTGTGAGTTTGTTTAAGATGAACTGATGATAACAGAGGCAAAGTGCATCTATTTCAGAGATGGGCTAACACAGTCAGTCTATTTATCATGTCATCATCAGTTCACCTGAAGCCTTTGGACCTTCGAGGAAGCTGGAATACCCAGAGGGAAATGCCTCATTTCATTCATGTACTGTGAGGCGAAAGTGCTGATCACTGTGCTGCCTCAAAATAATAAATAAATATAAATATTATACATGCAGCTCATCCAGCTTGATATTTGCACAGCTCAAAAGCCATCATCTCTACCATATGTTGGAGGATTAGTGCACGTGGCCAAGTACGGATATCTGTGAAGGTGAATCATGGAAGGTCTTTTTATTTCAGAAAGACAGCACTGAGCCACTTCTTCTTTAAGTTTTAAGCTTTTCTTTCCAAGCTCCTTAGACTAAAGGTTTGATAGGTAAACTAGTTATCCTAATTTATTGTTTTGTATCTTATTATTTATGACAGCAGCTCTTTTTTTCATAAACTATCCCTCAATACATCCATTTTTATTCATCTTTTTTGAACTTGGATGTCCATATCCTCCATATGTCCCTCGAGCTGATTACCTGGAAGATCTCAAAGTTTTCCTAGATGATATTTATGAAGTTTGTCATCTAAATATTAGTTATTTCAAGCAGCAAATCTGTGAGCCTGATTGCTCAGATAGCCTGCAGTGCAGACTTGTCTGCCACTTAAAAAAAAATAAAAAAATCCTGCATTATGAAATGAGAACAACAACAATCGAGGCCTACATAAACCGTTATCCTCGACATGAAATTCAAAATGAGAATTTTTGAAAAATATTCTTACAAAATTGAGTAATTACAGTTTATTGATGTGAACGTGACATCTTAACGTGGTGTTCAAACAACCATTTTTTATGTGTAATGTTTTTGCTGTCTAATTCTAACCACAAATGGGACTCGGAACCAAGAGTCAGTCAAACTTTGTACACCCACCATCCACCCCAGCATCCTCCTCCAGAGTCTTTCTTCCTTCTTCTTCTTTCAGTTGCTCTTTCAGCCACAGTAGATCATCTGCCTCCATCTCACTCCGTCCCTAGCATCCTCCTCTGCCACAACCACCCTCTGCATGTCCCCCTTTACTACATCCATGAACCTCCTTTAGTGATCTTCCTCTTTTCCTCCTGCCTGCCATTCTTTGCTCATTGTCCAGCATATCCTCTCTTCCTCTTCTACATATGTCCAAACCATCTCGGTCTTGCATCTCTAACCTTTTCTCCAAACTGCTCAGCCTGAGCTGTCCCCCTGTTGTACTCATTTTTAATCTTCTCCATCCTGCTCATCCCCAAGGTATTAAGAGCATCTTCAGCTCTGCCACCTCCAGATGCTTTTTTCCAGCGCCACAGTCTACAAACCATAACTCATAACAGGTCTCACCACCAACTTTTAAACATTCCTTTTCACTTTTACTGCTATCTTTCTGTCACAAATCATCCCAGATGCCCTGATACACCCTGCACTCTCTCACCATAGATCCCAGCGTCATCTGTAAACATCACAGTCCTTGGAGACTACTGCCTGACCTT